GGAGTTTTCAGCTGGGTCAACACAATAACTATCACCAGAAACAAAGTACTTGACAAACCAATGGAACGAAAAGCTCCTGACCTGATGGGGTGCATCCAAGAAATTTAAAGGAAATAGCTTTAGAGATTGGGAAAGCGTCTACATATCATCATTATTCAAAAAGGGAGACCAAAGCTGGTTACAATAAGCAAATTAGCTTAACATTATTGGGAAAATGTTAAAGAGTGGATTTAATAAAGGATTTAATAGCAGAACTTTTAAAAATATATATGGTATATTGCTTCATGAAAGGGAAATCATGCCTGACAAATGTATCAGAGATCTTTAAGGTTAACAAGCAGGATAATAAACGAGAACCAGTAGATGTAATATATTTGGATTTCCAAAAGTCATTTGATATGGTACTGCACCTCAGAGGCATTTGAAAAGGTACTGCAAATAAAGCTTTTTGATAAGATAAGTGCCTATGGTAATATACTAACATGGATAGAGGATTGGCTAACCAGCAGAAGACAAAGAGTTGAGATAAGGGTCATTTTCTGAATGACAACCAGTAACTAATGAATTACTGCAGACATCAGTGCCGGGCCACAATTATTTACAATACATTGTGACAATACCATGGCCTTGAGAGGTGTATTTTGTTCTTTTTTAAATGAAGGTTGAGACAGAGGTAGAGAGCGGACTAATCAAAGCCAATAGAGTAAACAGCTTGTGAGGCCTTGGATTTTCTTTTCCCAAGTTGTTATGGACCAGACCAAACCCCCTCCAAATATATTAAGATAGCTTAGACCCTATCCTTTTCTTATTTTAAAAGGTTAGTGTAAGGCATTGCGTTCCAGATGTGATTCGCTTGGTCAAACTATAAAGTCTGGTCAGACTTTAAGCAAAACACACTTCATTTTTACACTGCAGTTAAAATACAGACTACTAATTAACAAATTCCATAAACACACCCTCCGCAAAGGTAAATTCACTAAAACAGATGGTCTCACATGTAATTCTGGCAGCAGGAACAGAACCTCAGCTTTTAGCTGTAAGAGACAGGAATCCAGCTTCAAGATCCCAGCAACTGCAAGTTCTGTGGGAGCTTGACCCCACCCATTCAGGCTGCTTCTCTTGTTCCAACTTTAAAAAAGAACCCAAGACCTCACAAGCTCTTTACTTTATTGGCTCTGAGCAGACTGCTCATCACCTCGATCTCAACATTTCTTCATTAAAAAAAAAACCAAGACAAAATAAAACCACTGCAACATCACAAATATAAATGACTTGGATGAAGGAAGCAAATGTACCGTAGCCTAGTTTAAGGATGCCACAAAAATAGGTGAGAAGGCAAGTAACGAAACTGAGAATCTACAATGGGATAGACAGGTTAAGTGAATATGCAAAAGCTAGCAGATGGAAAAGTGTGGCAAAATCTGAGGTTATGTATTGCAAACTTTTTATTAACCGGCACCTGTGGACCAGGAGTGTACCAGTTGATCAAATAATTCAGTAGATGAAGAGGTCCACATAATCATAGAACCCCTACAGTGTGGAAACAGGCCCTTCAGCCCAATGAGTCCACACCGACCCTCAGACCATCCCACCCAGACCCCATCCCCCTAATCTACACACCCCTGGACAGTATGGGAAATTTAGCATGGCCAATCCACCTAGCCTGCACATCTTTGGACTGTGGAAGGAAACCGGAGCACCCGGAGGAAACCCACGCAGACACTGGGAGAATGTGCAAACTCCACACAAACAGTCGCCCGAGAGTGGAATCGAACCCTGGTCCCTGGCGCTGTGAGGCAGCAGTGCTAACCACTGAGCCACCCTGCTGCCACCCAATCACTGTATCAACTGGATAGAGAACTGGCTGGGTAACAGGAGACAGAGAGTTGTAGTAGAAGGAAGTTCAATCCAGGCAAATGCGAGGTGATGCATTTTGGAAGATCCAATTCAACAGCGAACTATACGGTAAATGGAAAAGCCCTGGGGAAAACTGATGCACAGAGAGATCTGGGTGTTCAGGTCCATTGTACCCTGAAGGTGGCAACGCAGGTCGATAGAGTGGTCAAGAAGGCATACGGCATGCTTTCATTCATCAGATGGGCTATTGAGTACAAGAGTTGGCAGGTCATGTTACAGGACTTTGGTTCAACCACATTTGGAATACTGCATACAGTTCTGGTCGCCACATTACCAAAAGGATGTGGATGCTTTGGAGACGGTGCAGAGGAGATTCACCAGGATGTTGCCTGGTATGGAGGGTGCTAGCTATGAAGAAAGGTTGAGTAGATTAGGATTATTTACATTAGAAAGACTGAGGTTGAGGGGGGACATGATTGAGGTCTACAAAATCATGAGAGATTATAGACAGGGTGGATAGCAAGAAGCTTTTTCCCCCCCAGAGTGGGGGACTCAGTTACTAGGGGTCACGATTTCAAGGTGAGAGGGAAAAAGTTTAAGGGAGATATGCGTGGAAAGTTCTTTACGCAGAGGGTGGTGGGTGCCTGGAACGCATTGCCAGCTGAGGTGGTAGAGGTGGGCATGACAGCGTCATTTAAGATGTATCTAGACAGATACATGAATGGGCAGGGAGCAGAGGGATACAGATCCTTGGAAAATAGGCAACAGGGTTAGATAGAGGATCTGGATCGGCGCAGGCTTGGAGGGCCGAAGGGCTTGTTCCTGTGCTGTAATTTTCTTTGTTCTTTCTTTGTTCAAAACACACATTAACCAATAGAAATGTAATGCAGGGGGTATATACATCACTATGATATTTTACTTACAGCAAAAATCACTTAAATAATAATGTTACTTTGGCTGAAATAAAACTTACCGGCAGACAGCTTTCTCACTTGCACCCTCAACTAACTGCTCGGACATCACAGGAATCGCGAATTTTAGTATTTCGGTATTTCAGGAATATAATTTCTGTCAGTTTATTGAGAATACCGGTTAAAACAAAGTTTGCTGTACTTTGGCTGGATGAAAATAGGAGCTGAATATTATTTAAATGAGAGAAGATTGCATAAAGCTGTAGCACAGAAATTATTTCAATCACTTATTGGACGTCTGCTTTGCCAGATGGACCAGCATTTACTGCCCATTCCTAATCGTCCAGAGGGCAGTTAAAAGTCAACCACATTGCTATGCTTTGTAGTCACACATAGACCAAACCAGATAAGGACATTATTTAACCAGATGGGATTTTACTAAAATCAGTGTTGGTTACATGGTCACCATTAGGCTCATTTTTTAGTTCCAGACTTTTGGTGAATTCAAATTCCATCATTTGCCATAGGGGAATTCCAACCAATGTCCCCAGAACATTAATGTACGGTATAAGATTACTAGCCCAGTAATATTCTCACTAAACCACTGCAGAAGTGTTGGGGGTTCTCATAAATTAATCATAAAAAGTTTGAAAACAAGTTGAGTGAGTAATACGGAAAGCACTGTTGACCTTTTTTCCAAAGGGAATGGAATATTTATTTTATTAATTCATGGGACACAGGCATCACTGGCTGGCCCACATTTATTGCCTATCCCTAGTAGCCCATGAAAAGATGGTGGTGAGCTGCCTTCTTGTACAGCTGCAGTCCACATGCTGTGGGTTGATCCACAATTCTTTTAAGAAGGGAATTCCAGGTTTTTGACCCGATATATAACCAATATAATTTGGCCCAATATGGAAATGGGGAGGCCAGCTAAAACTACACAAGGCACTAGTCAGACCACTACAAACACTTTTGGTCCTCTTATCTAAGGACATATATACTTGCATTGGAGGCAGTCCAGAAAACGTATCCCAGCTACGGAGGGATATTTTTATGAAGAAAGGTTGAGTAGGTTAGGCTTGTACTCATGGGAAATTAGAAAAGTTAGAGGCAACCTTATTGAAACATACAAGATTCTGACAAGATAGGTGCAGAGAGGTTGTTTTCCCCTTGTGGGAGAGTTTAGAACAACAGTGTTCGATATCGATATCAGAATAAAGGGTTGCCCATTTAAAACAGATGAAGAGGAATTTCTTCTCTTAGATGGTAGTCAATTACTGATGCCTGTAGAGGCTTGGTCATTAAGTATATTCAAGGCTGAGATGGAAATATGTGGTTAGTAAGGGAATCAAGGATTACAGCGATTCGGTAGGAAAGAGTTGAGGATTATCAGATCATCCACAATCTCACTGAATGGCAGAAAAGACTTTGTTCTGTGGGCTGAATAGCCTACTTCTGCTCCTATGTGTTATGGTAACTTTAATGTAGATCAATTTTTTTTAAAAAATAGCACAACTAATGAATTTTGAATGTATAATAAAGGATAATTTTGTACAAGGTATGCTTGAACCAACTAGGGGAGACCATATTAGGTTTAATAATTAGTCTAAGGACTATAGTGTAGGACTTCAAAATGACAAAGATGGGTTGGTAGAATGGAGAGGCAAGTGACACATGAAGTTTAATGCAGGAAAGTGAGTGATTCATTTTTGATAGAAAACAGACAAAATAAAGGGTACAATTCTAAAGGGATACAAAGGCTGGGGAACATGGATGTACGTGTACACAAATCATTGAAGGCAACATGATATCTGCTTAAACCTTCATCTGGTGAAGGAAGGTTTGTCAAGTTGGGGCAAGAATCAAGCAATGTTATAGAGGTGAAAATAGATGGTTAGGTGATGGGGCAGGTATATACTCAGTTATGTGGTTGGAAAATCACCTTCAGGTTAGAAGTGACATATTGTGAACATTCTGATTGAGACTCATAGTTCGTATAGAGATGAAAGGCAACAAATTTTGAAATGAATACTGTGTTTTCCTGGGTGTTGCATGAGAGAATATTTCCATTCTTAACTCACATCCACGTTCCTGGTTCTACACACACTACAGCATAACATCCCTGGCTGATTCAGTCTCTACAGGCATGACAGATCAAATGGTTACAGCAGAGAAAACCTGTCCTGATCTGATGAATCCCATTAAATAGAACAAGTGCAATTTACCTACCCGGAATAAAGAGCCCTCAATCCTTCCTCCTTACATATCTTGAGTAAGGCATGTAACATTCCTCTGTACTTAATCTCCTTGTAACGAGAGTCAATAAGCTGACCCTGAACCTGCAGCCGAGTTTTTGTCAGGTCAATTGGAAATGTTCCTAAGGGAAAGAAAAAGCAGCTTGTTACAACTCAAAAAGAGCACTATTTCTGCTGAGAAACAGCTCAAATTGATGACATTTACCTGTTCTACTACGGAAAGACAGTGATGTTGTCTCTGCACGAGCAATCCAGAGACCCAGGTAATTACCTGGAAGATGGGTTCAAATTCCACCATGACAGGTGGTGAAATTTGAATTGAATAAAAACATGGAATTAAAAATCCAGTGATGATGTGAAACCATTGCTGTAAAACACCATCTAATTTAGAAATATCCTTTAGGAAAGGAAAACTGTCATTCTTACCCAAATAAAAAAAAAACGAAAGAACTGCAGATGCTGTAAATCAGAAACAAAAACAGAAGTTGCTGGAAAAGCTCAGCAGGTCTGGCAGCATCTGCAAAGAGAAATTAGAGTTAGCATTCTGTTCTGAGGAAGGGTCACCGGACCCGAAATGTTAACTCTGATTCCTCTTCTCAGCAGGTCTGGCAGCATCTGCGCTTTTCCAGCAACTTCTGTTTTTGTTTTTGTCATTCTTACATGTTCTGGTCGACATTGGACCAACATTCACCCTAATGTGATATTCCACTGATTGGTCCTCTGAGATCAGTGCGTGGCAGAAACTTCTGCATGCAGAAGCCAATGCATTGCATGCCAATCGACACACACCGGAATTCTGAGCGGGTGCACAGCCATTCAGTTTACAGGGAACGCTGCATGTGACTCCGGACCTTGAACAACGTGACTGACTTTTACCTGTCCTCTGAAGTGGTCTAGCACGTCACCCAGTCAAGGGCAACTGGGGATAGGCAACAATTGCTGGCCCAGCTTTGCATTGCATGCATGTATAAATTACAAATGTATATCGAAGCACTCCATCTTACCAATTATAAACTGAAGGATATTTGGCTAGGCATTCTGCAGTCTCACACACTGGAGAATGAACACTAATCCCGAACAAGAAAACTGCGTTGAACACAAGCATCACCTTTCCAGAATCAATCCTTGTGGAAATGAAGGTGTTTTGGTGTCAGTGATTTTGTTCTAAACATATATAAAGTGGCACACAACCTGGAGCTGAATTGATGATTAAACATAATGGGTTTTCCCACAATCAACCAGTCTTTGACACGGTTAAACCTCTCAGTTTGGAGGAACGGTGGGTTGTTAGTACATTTCAGCATTTGCCATAGGTAGCTACATCTTTACTGGAGTATTGGTTACATCCAGTGAGCACAGATGACCCCACTGATCACATAACACAGTTATCATAGCAACAAAGGAATGTGTCAGTTCTGAATGTCTTGTTAAAAGCATCCAGTCATTAACACCGAAGTTGAAAGAGGGACAGCAGTTCTTTATAGACTCTGTTTCACCCTCTGGATAAAGATAGTTAATCTGCAATATTATTGAAACAGAGCAGATGTGACCTCTTGCCACGTTAGCATCAGTTATTTCAAGTGTACTTTCATTTTAACAGATAATACTAGTCGCAAAATTTGCATTATTTTTAATGTAGTGAGAAAGGAACTTAAAAATATATCTTGCCTTCATATTGGAAGATAATTTATTCCATGCAAGAAAATAATTCTGTCATAAATCATGGAGTCCCTACAGTGTGGAAACAGGCCATTTGGCCCAACAGGTCCACACCACCCATTCTCCTACCCTATCCCTGTAACCCTGCATTTCCCATGACTAACCCAACTAGCCCGCAAGTCCCTGAACAATATGAGCAATTTACCACGGCCAATCCATGGGACACAGGCATCACTGGCTGGCCCACATTTATTGCCTATCCCTATTAGCCCATGAAAAGATGGTGGTGAGCTGCCTTCTTGTACAGCTGCAGTCCACATGCTGTGGGTTGATCCACAATTCTTTTAAGAATGGAATTCCAGGATTTTGACCCGATATATAACCAATATAATTTGGCCCAATATGGAAATGGGGAGGTCAGCTAAAACTACACAAGGCGCTAATCAGACCACTACAAACACTTTTGGTCCTCTTATCTAAGTCCACATCTTTGGACTGTGGGAGGAAACTTAAGAGCACATGGCGGAAACCCATGCAGACACAGGGAGAATGTGCAAACTCCACACAGTCACTTGAGGGTGGAATTGAACCTGGGCCCCCAGCGCCGTGAGGCAGCAGTGCTAACCACTGAGGCACCATGTTTATTCAGAATTGGATTCGTCTTAAAAAAATCATCTCAGTCTATCACCTGATTTTTAAGTTGGATGCAGGCAGAAAAGAGGAATTATTCATGGGGAAAATTCACAATAATGTGAAGTATGAGCAACTTCAGTCATGTGGATGGAGTGGAAGGGCTGGGACATTCACCATGGTGAAGGGAAAGCAAAGAGGAGATTGACCGAGATGTTCAAAAATCAGGCAGGGTAGGCAGACAGAAACTGTGCCCAGCTCAGAACCAGGAAGAGACAATTACTAGGGGTCATGATTTCAAGATGAGAGGGGAAAAGTTTAAGGGAGATATGCGTGGAAAGTTCTTTACGCAGAGGGTGGTGGGTGCCTGGAGCGCGTTGCCAGCGGAGGTGGTAGAGGCAGGCACGATAGCGTCATTTAAGATGTATCTAGACAGATACATGAATGGGCAGGGAGCAGAGGGATACAGATCCTTGGAAAATAGGCAACAGGTTTAGATAGAGGATCTGGATCGGCGCAGGCTTGGAGGGCCGAAGGGCTTGTTCCTGTGTTGTAATTTTCTTTGTTCTTTGTGTCCTTGGAGAGGTAGCTGTTGATGTTCACCAATACTCTCGATGCCTTGAGAGATGGGCACTGCAAGGGTGGGTACAACGTTTTATCTGTCCTTGCAACACCATTTTGATTGAGCTCATTTCCTTTTTCCCCACCTGCTCCACACTTTCTGATAATTTGCAGTGCCACTAATGGGATTTACCTGTTATAGAGTCACAGAGTCCTATAGCATGGAGATAGGCCATTTGGCCCAAACTGGTCCATGCCGACCAAAATGTCCATCCACGCTAACCCCATTTCCCTGCACTTGGCCCATATCCTTCTAAACCTTTCCCATCCGTGTGTTTGTCCAATGCCTTTTAAATGTTGTTAATGTACCCGCCTCAACAATATCCGCTGGCAGCTTATTCCACATTCTTACCACCCTCTGTTGAAAAAAAGTTACCCCTCAGGTTCCCATGTATTCTTTCCTTTCTTACCTTAAACTGATGCCATCTAGTCCTCAATTCCCCAACGCTGGGAAAAAGACCAAGTGCATTCACCTTATCCATGCCTCTCATGATCTTACACACTTCTGTAAGATCCCCCTCAGTTCCTACGCTCCGAAGAAAAGAAATCATAGCTTGTCCAACCTCTCTCTAAAACTCACTCCCTTCAGTCCTGGCAACATCCTTGTAAATTTCTTCTGCACTCTTTCCAGTTTAACAACATCCTTCCAGTTTAACAACATCCTTCCTCTAGCAAGGTGACCAAAACTGAACAGAATATTCCAAGTACGGCCTCACCAACATCATGTACAACCGCATCATAATTTCCCAACTTCTATACTCAATGCCCTGACTGATGAAGGCCAGTGTGCCAAAAGCCTTCTTCAACTGCCCTGTCTACCCGTGACTCTACTTTCCAAGAACCATGCACCTGATCTCCAAGGTCCCTCTCTTCCACTACACTCCTTAAGGCCCTACCATTCACCATTAAATTCCTACCTTGAATTGACTTTCCAAAATGCAATACTTCACATTCATCTGTATTAAACTCAATTTGCCATTTCTCACCCTACTTCCCCAGCTGATCAAGATTTTGCTGCAATTTCTGATAACCTTCCTCACTGTCCACAATACTGCCTATTTCAGTGTCATATCCATATTACACGCAATTAGCCACAAGGGTGATTTACTGGAGGTGGTTAGTGGTTAAAAACAAAAAAAAAGTCATGGTGATATTGTGCGTGACAGCACTTCTGGATGTAAGAAAAAGAAAAGCCTCCATGCAGTCATATTTTTAAGGTAGAGTTGGACAGATTGTTGACTAATAAGGGAGTCAGTGGTTATTGGAGATAAGCAGAAAACAGAGTTGAGGCCACAACCAGTTCAGCCATGATCTTACTCAATGGTACAGCAGACTCAAAGGGTCAAATGGCCTCTTCTCACTCACATGATTGTAGGCACAAGTCAGGTCATACCCAAGTGCAGAATCTGCATGTTGAAGTGCATGGCGTATTATCCTATTTACTCTAAACAAGCGAATTTTTTTTATTCTTTGATGGGATGTTGAAAGTGGAGTTGCAGGTATACAGGGTTGTGAAGGCGGCTTTTGGCATATTTGCCTTCATTGGTCAGCGCATTCAGTATAGGAGTTGGGACTTCATGTTGCAGCTGTATAAGGCATTGATCAGGTCACTTTCAGAATACTGCGTTCAATTCTGGTCTCCCTACTATAGGAAAAATATTGCTAAACTTGAAAGGGTTCAGAAAAGATATATAATGATGTTACCAAGGTTGGAAGGTTTGAGCTATAGGGAGAGGATGAATAGGCTGGGGCATTTTTCCCTGCAGGTTTGGGGGCTGAGGGGTGACCTTATAGAGGTCTATAAAATAATGACAGGCATGGATAGGGTGAATAGCCAAGGTCTTATTTCAAGGATTTGGGAGTCCAAAACAAGAGGGCATAGGTTTAAGGTGAGAGGGGAAATATTTAAAAGGGACCTGAGGGGCAACTTTTTCATGCAGAGGGTGGTACATATATGGAATGAGCTGCCAGACATGGTGGTGAAAGCAGGTACAATTCCAACATTAAAAAGGCATCTGAATGGGTACATGAATAGGAATGGTTTAGAGTGATATGTGTCAAATGTGACTAGATCAATTTAGGATATCTGGTCTGCATGGACAAATTAGACCAAAGGGTCTGTTTCCATGCTGTACAACTGTGAATTTAGCTGGATGGACCAAAGTTAATTGTTCATCCCTCAGTGTTCTTGAAAGATTAGGGAGCTGCTCCT